AATTATAAATAAAGGATCAAGAATTCAAGCCTCCTGCCTGAAATTGTGTTCTTTTATTACTTTGTTCTTAATACCTGGAGAATGGAAACTGAGAGCTATGAAAAATTCCACCATGGTTGAGGCATGGTGGTGAGTGGAAAGAACACTGGACTGGAGGTGAGGACAACTGAATCCCATTTCTAGCTCTATCATCTGATCTTGGTAAAGCCCGAAACTCTTCTGGACTTCATCTAGAAATGAAAAGATTGGATGAGATGAGAGACTTATCTCTCTTATTACCACATTAACAGATATTAATAAGAAAAAAAATTAGTGCCTTGTAAAAATATGGAGGGCAAAATAAGTATTGTAGTGCCAGGGCTCCTGGTTTTTGGAAAATTCTGGCAACGCTCTTTTGGATACCTCCCACACAGGGCGTACTGCTAAATCATTGCTTTAGGTATCAACGTGGTGCAGTGGATGAGCTCTGAGTGGTATGGTCAAAGTCAAAGAGGCACAAGGGCTTTTTTACCTCAGCTTGACCTCATTAAAGCCATTGGAGCATGACTTTGGCCATATAAAGCAAATGTATTGGCTCTGAGCCCATCAGGGTTCTGAGGCTATTTCTCAACAAGGAATCAAGCAAGAAATGAGATGGATTTTATTTTATGCAGTCTGTATTAGGGATCTACATAACCCGGGGCATGACATGGGACATGAGAATGCTAAAATGCACATGTGGGGCTCTGCAGAACTAATTTCACTTAACTTGGTGATGTAACAAAAAGAACACTGAACTGAAAATCAGAAGACTTGAACTCCAGTTTTGAACAGGCCGGTCACCTTAGAAAGTTGAGTAGCATCCTCGGGCCTGTTTTCTCCTTTCTAAAATGAGAGATCTCAATGGATAGTTTCTAAGTTTTCTTCTGGTTCTAGCAATCTGAGATTCTGTGTAATATTAGAACTTTATGAGACACACAATAAGGTTCCTAATAGGTCAACCTATATCCCAGAGACAAATCAAGCAATTTTTTTTTCATATACCAAACCTTGATGGGGCTTCTAGAAGATTAGAGTCTTATGGGTAGAGCTTGAATTTGGCTGCCTTTTGAAGCTAGGCTTTTTGAGCATAATCTTGAGGATGACATGTTTAGAAAAAAACAGAGTAGCTGTGGCATCTCTTAATCTTAATTATAGTTTAATTATTGACTGAGGATTTACACATGGAAGCTTTGAAGTTTTAATTAATATTCTAAATTGACAAAGTGCAGTGAGATCCAAAGGTAGTTGGATATTTTTCAGGTCTTGTGGAAAGTTAAAGTGATTAATATGACCGTTTGACCTAGTTCATCCTCTCTATGTGGTATGCAATCTCTATTCCTCCAATGTATTCCACTGATAATTGGGTCTTGTTAAAATGTAGTCATCACACTTTTACTCACTGAGCTCCAAGATGAGGCAAGTTCCCTGTGTTTAGATACTCAAATCATGCTATTATATTCTTTTCCTGAAATTTTCCTATTATATAACCTTATATTTGTATTATATTTTCTATGATTGTCCTATCCACTATTTCATTTGATTATCACGATAGCCTTATGCGATGAGCTAGAGAGAGAATAATGTTTCCATTTTAAAGAGGAAAAACTGAGTTCAGGTGCCAGAGTCACACATCTAGAAGTGACCACACTTTCAATTATTTTTTCACACTTTTCATTACCAATGAATGGATTGGTTTGTTCTGCTGTTCAGAGGACATCCTTGCTCAAGGCAGGTGTATATTTGCAAGCTCCTCACTAATAGCTAAATGTTGCCAACTCAGAGGGAATTACTCAGAAAAACACAATGTGAATGATTAATCTATATACTGCTGAAGAATATGAATGATTAAAGGATACTTTGAAGAAGAATATTTTGTATATTGTCATAAAGTTTTATTAATATTTTTGATAAGTGTAAAATATGTGAGAAGTGTGTAGGCAGAATAAAATCCACCTGTAAAGCTGGAAGAGGGTGAACATCTCAAAAAGAGAAAAATTTATAAAAAACATCAGAAGGATCTGGAGCAGGAAAAACTAGAGAATTTAACTATGGAGTAATTACATTACCCATAAGTGTGGTTTATTTTCTGAAACTTTGAAATTTTCAACCTATATACCCGATTCAATGCTATCCCCTTCAAAGAAGTCATCTTGAGAGGCTATACACTCTATTCCATTCATACTTCTTATTACTTAAATTATTTTCGGAACTTCTCTTTTATAATTGCCTTCTGAAATGGACACTTTCTTTTAAATATTCTTAATGGCGTTTTAGATAAAATCAGAATTATGCAGAGCCATGTCTGGTGCAAGGATGGTGCTTAAGCCAGGTAATTTATTTCCCTTCCTCCTTCCCTCTCGCTCTCCCTCCGTCCAAACCCCCTCCCTCCTTCCTTTTTTTTTCCTTCCCTTTTTCCCTCTCTCCTTCCCTCTTTCCCTCCCTCTTCCTCCTTCCCTCCCCTCCTCTTTCTTCATTCTTTCTCCTTCACCCCCCTCTCTTTCTTCCTTCCAAAAAAAGAGATGGGACTAAATTTTTTTGTGAGTCTCATAAACCTTCTCTGAAGACTTCCACAGATTACTCTAAGCGATACAGTATTGTAGTAAGAACATGTTTTCCAAGTTAATTATGTTGGGTGCTTAAATTCTGGTTTGTTAGTTTAAAATATTTTGTTTTATACTTTTGTAATTATATTCCCTGGAATGAATTATATAGGGCTTTGGTTGGAATGTTGAAGGCGTAAACTACAGGAGACCTGAATATTGTTTTCTTACTCGTGAGGGCTTGCACAGGCAGCACTGAGCTGAGAAATGAGGAACAGTGCAGGGAATGGAGAAGATGCTGTGTGGAGCATTGAGTTGAATTAGAGATGCTACGCTCTTACCTATTGGAAGTGTTTAGAGAGCAGCCAAGGGGATGAGGGGAGGGAACTTGAAGCCATGGCATATGATAACTACGTAAAAGAACTGGGGATGTTAAACCTGATGTGGCATATGAGAATCAGAGGGCTGTGGTAGAGAGGACATGGGACTGGGAATATGGCTTAAAATGTTATTTCTGCTCCCAATTAGCTTTAGAACATTGGGCAAATAATTTGACCTCTCTGTGCTTCAGTTTCCTAACCTATCAAGTTGAAATTATAGAACTAAATGAGCTTAAAGTTTCTTCAAAGATTAAAATTTATTTTATGAGGGATACCTGATAAATATCTTCGGATGCTTGAAGAGCTGTCATGAGGAACCAGGATTTGACCAAGACTGTCTGATATCTAAGGAGGAGACGAGGTTGAGGGGTGGCAGGGGTGCAGATTTCAGCTTTAAGTAAAAACGAACCACCCAACAGTGAGATGGCTACCGTGAGGGTGGAGCGTGCAGTGGTAATCTCCCCATCAGTGAAAGTATTCAAGAAGAGCTGAGAGGACCAATTCTATGATGTTGTAGAAAGGAAGCATAAACTGTAAGAAGTGGTGGGCTAGTTGATTATGAAGGTCTGTTTCAATTCTGAGATTCTAGAAATCTCTACTCTTTTGAGGTCCTCAGTGTTTTTGATTGCATTTGTGGAGCTACACAAGACCAGGAATGACAGGCCTAAAAACCTCAGGCAGGTCTAGAATTGAGAAGTGGTCCCTAAGGGTTTGGTTCATGATTCCTCGTCATCTTTATAATTGCCTGAAGGATAGGCATCCTGGCAACCTGGTTGCTTAAACTAATGTTACCTGGAAGAATGAAGGAGAATCTCACAGTTTCACTGAATGAGAAGACTTAAAAGAGGAACGGATAAGCTGCCTCCAGATGCATTCTTGTCCCCTTCAATGTATTAGGAAACCATTGTTGATCACATCTGCAAAGCCTTTTAGAATCCTCATGGCAATTACAAGATACCCCTTTGCTTCTTAGCAGAGACAGGTCTCACAGCAGCATCGGGCCCAAGGCTCCAGAGTAGCATGTCATGTGAACACAGAGCTAATCATTATTGATTCCTTGGGCCATTATGGCAAAGGGACATTAATTACCATCAGCACAGTTATACTAATGCATTTGTAATGAGCATGCCTGTGGGAATTCCCAGTGAGGGAACTCTTCATCAGATCAGAGCAGCCAGCAGGGGAATGGGGCAAGCTGGGGGTGCAGGTGTTGAGGAGAAAGACAATTTCATTGGTCTGGTTCTAGTTATTTCCAGAGTTTCCATTCATTTATGTACCTGTACCTAGAGAAGTCTGTGAAATGCCTCTCCCTCCACCCCTTCAGTAAGAAATTACTGTTACTGACCAGAAACAGTATTTTCTGTTCGCTATACACAGTGCGGTAACTGTGGTTTCCAGATGCGTCTTGTGGAAACAGAACCCTGACTGCTGGACTCATCTCACAATTTTTAGAAGTAGGGACTGGGCAGGATTTTAGCAAGAGTTCAAAACCACGTGTGTAGCTCTGGAAGGCCGAGAGACCCAAATCTCCGATATGCCACCTTTCTTAGCAGAACGTGGTCTTGCTACACTCCTACTTTCTTCTGTTGTCTCTACCACTTCTGCCTTTTAATCCACCCCCTTTTTTGCATAATAATTAACACTTAATGAAGGTTTACTATTATGCACCAGGCCTCATGGTCCTCATGGTAAGTTATCTCATTTAAGCCTTACAAACCTAATAAAGTAGGTTTCTTTATTACCCCATTTTTTATAGATAGTGAAAAAAGTGATGTTCAGAGGGCTAAGTAATTTGGTCAAAATCATAGCTATGGACTAAACTCAAACTCAGTGCCCTTATTTTAAATTTTGTATTGTCTTTTCATATTATTCCTATTATGTGAAAATTTGGATGACTATTGTATATTCAACTGGGAGCTCAAGGGGTACCGAGTTTCACAATGGTATTTGTATATCTGTCTACCTGTCTGTCTCCATCTTTCTCTCTGTCTTCCTAACTATCTTGTTCTTAGCCTACCTTCTTCAGACTTTTAACCTTCCTTTTATTTTATCTTTACAGGTATCTGATCAATGTCACTTTTGAGGGGAGAAATCTGTCCTTCAGTGAAGATGGCTACCAGATGCACCCAAAACTGGTGATAATCCTTCTGAACAAGGAGAGGAAGTGGGAGAGGGTAGGACATGTCTTTGGCAATTCTTGAGCAAAGTAGAAGGATGGGGATGTAAAATTTTGCAGGACAATAAAGGAAAACAGTCCTATGGTTTTGGTCTCTAAGCTGGCCAGCAAGAGATGAATACTTCAGTACTTTGAGAACACAGGAGAAGCCATTTCTTACACTTGCAGCTTTGTTTTCTTGCTACGTGGGTTAATCTAGAGATTATTTTCTTTCTGTATTATTTTTATTGGTTATGGTGCTGTCTGAATCACAATTTTGTTTTAATGGAAGAGTATGCATGTACAATATAACACAATTTAGTGAAGAAACTGAATCAGTGGTACACTTCAGAGGTCATGTCCTATTCAGTATACTGGGGAGGCCTATGAAAACTAATTTAAGAGCAGACAGATTTGGATTCACCGTGGTTGGAGGCTTGCTATGCAAGGTTCTTCTCAGGATCTCTCCCAGTGCCAGCTGATCACAGGGTCTGAAATTCTACCACTAGAAATTAATTTCTGTGGGTGCCAGAATGCCTAGGTTCTATTTTCAGCTCCTCTACCCACTAACTAGTTCCACACAGGACCTTGGACAAATCTCCTAACTTCTCGGTGCCTCCACTACCTCATCTATAAAATGGGAATAATAATAATAGTACCAATATCTCAGGAGTGTTATGAGGGTTAAATATATTAATATATGTAAAAGACTTAGAAAAGTGCCTGGCACACAGTAAGCACTCAATGGGTATTAGGTTTTAGTGTTGTTATTGATTCCTAGTTAAATGCAAATCTTCCTAAGAGTAATGTCATCACTGGTGTTTCTCCAAGTTCTGCAGGGCATTTGTCCCTTGAGATGCTTTGTTGAAAAATGGTTACGCAGTTAAATAAGGTTGGGATATGCTACCTGCTGTTTCTTATTCTGGGAGATTCTCAGAACATATTAGCATTTGAAAGTTCAGAGGTGTCTTATAGTAAAGAAACATCTTTAATTTTATTTAATCTAACTTTTTCCAAAATTATTTTCTTGCAAAACCCTTTTGTTCATGAAATTCATATTCTGGGAAACACATTGGAAACTTTTATTTGAGTCCATTTCTACAGATTCCATGGGCCAATTGACTGAGAACAGGCTTTAAGATGTCAGCATGGCTCTGACTGGAATGGAAACCAAACTATATATTTCTAGAGAAAGTAGCCAGGAAAAGACACCAGAGACAAACTTCCCAAAATTCACAATCTTGTCACAGAGAGCATTGGACAGGTAGTTATGCAAATGCTCACCTGTGAAACGGGGCATGTGTGGCTCAGATAGTGGCACCAAAGGCCTTATTCTTCAGATTGAAGGACCTCAATCTGTCATGTAGCTCCTCGTGTCAGAGCACAGCTATGAGGCTTACATTCTGCCTGGTGTTCTTGATTAAAATTGCCTTCCCTCCACTGAGTTACCATTTGTTCAGAAATGGTTGTTCCCTGGACTCCTGCTCTTCACCCCAATCAAGCTGCTTTTCACTGCTACCATAGAGACATAGTAATTTAAGAAGTGTTCTGGGACCTCATGTATAACAGGCACTTCTGTATATTTCAGAAGAGGAGTTATTAATAACTGAGGTTTCATACGTGGATCAGAAGATGTCCAGCTGGGGTAGCTTTTATGCGCTAGACTCATGATTACTGTTTCAAATATGGGGCATGTCATAACTGTCCTTTTTTAAAGAGACATCACTTACTGTCACTTGTGCTGATTTCTCTTCCTTAGGCTGGAATCTGAGGTCTGCGACCTCCACCCTTTTCCAAAACTAGACCCTCCCCCTGGGGTTTAGATCCCTTCTCTCCTTATCAATTCTATCTTTACACTAGCTCTTGAATTTAATCCTTACTTTTTATATGATCCAGAAACTATGATGATTTTTTAAATAAGCCTTTCTGTCCCTATGTCCACCTTTATCCATTCAGATAAATCCTTGGACATGGCTGCTAGAGTGAGCTTCCTTAGGCACACTTCTGGTTATGTTCTTTCTCTGCAAAAAAATCCATTCAAAGTTTCTGTGGTTTATGGATTGGGTCCAAACTTTATCTTTTCTTACATTTGAGGCTCTGATCTACCTTTTAACATCTGTCTTCTCTTGCTTACCATTTGTTGTCTCACCATTAAGCTACATTGGGCTCCTCTCTGTTCTGAGAATGTATCCCTGTCCATCTTGCTCCCTGTACAGCATGTCATGATGTTTCCTTTTCCTGGAATGAATTGTCCAATTATACAAATCATAACCATCCTTTGAAACACAATTAAAATGTTGCTGTCTCCTTCCCTGATCTTTGACTGAGATACAATCCTTCACTCTCTCGTCCCCTGTAGCTTTTGTGCATACATCTGTTGTAGCACTCATCACATCTGCCTGTGTTAGAGTTGTGTGTATGCATGCTTCTGGGTGGCAGAGGCTGTGTCTTTATATCATTGTGTCCTCACAGCAACCTGGAAGAGCGTGTTGCATATAGCAGTTGAATAAATATGTGTCGAATGAATGAGAACCATTACATAATACAAGAGGATAAAATCTATCATTGAGAGTCTAAGTTTATGCTATTGCCCTTGATGCAATAGCTGTTTTCTGAGGAGGAGATAAAATCTTTATGTAGATTGAGTTTTCATAGATCATATTTTAAATGTACTCAGGGAACTTGTTCTTTAAAGAAATTCTGTAGTTAATCTTTTTTGTAAAGCATTCTGGGAGGGGTTTGCCTCATAGAATAGAACATTTCCATATCGACTTAGTTAAATTAGGGAACATTGCTGGAGAGAGATCTTCAGTGTTCATTGAGTTCACAGAGCCACGCAGCTCCCAAACTTGGAAGCCCCCGTTAGGACTCACTTGTGGTCAGGGAGGAGCAGCAGGAGCCAGGCACAGCTCTAGGGCGTGTCTGACATGTGGTGAAATTGTACTGTGGGAAGTTGTACATTTGCTCAATTCTTAGTCTGGCCCCCAGGCCCCTTCTGCATTCCTAATGAATTAGGATTCCTAATATCACTCCAGAAGGCCCCCTGTGGTCCAGGGAAGATTTAGTGTCTGTCGACTCCACAGAGGCAGGCCCCAGGATGAGGATTCTACACTGTGGAGATGGACACTGGGAAGATAAGCAGGGAAAGAATCTGGATTTGTGGAAAAAATTTGGCTAAGAGACAGGGCTCTCAGCTTCCAGTCAGATCCCTAACTCAGCTGTGTGACCTGCTGTTATCACTTTTCTGGATCTTTCTTTCCTCATGTCTGAACTCATGGTATGAGGTTAAAGACTTGTAGGATCCTTTCCAGCTCAAAATTCTGGGATTACAAATTCATGTTGTAAATAAATAGGAAGTTGGAATGGAAATTGGATGAGAGCTGGATCATACAAAAGGAACCTGAGTTTGTTTTTAAGGACAGTAACTCCCAGGACATATTTGTCATTCTCGTCATTTAGATAAATATCATCTCAGAAGGCCTTCCCTGATGACCCGAGCTAAAATGCCACCCATTCACTCTTTCACAAAAGTTTATGTTAATTTTCCTGAGTCTACTTATTATCTGATATTTTGCTTATTTGCCTGCTTGTTTGCTTATTGCCTGTGTCATCACACCAAGACAGATGCTTCGTGGGAGCAAGGACCTTGTTCACCTCTATAATCCTAACACTGAAGAAGAGAGCCTGGCTCAGAGTGACCACTCAAGAAATATTTGTTAAATAAATGAAGAATCTGTGTGCTTATGAGAGTTAGAATATTGGCCAGTCATTTCACTTCTGCCTGAAAATCTCCCATTTAGATAGAGGAGTTTACTGAAGAGAGAGTGAGAGCAGGTGTATTTCCCACCTTTGGAGTGAGCACTCCAAGTGCCAGTGAAGGACTCGGGGGCGCTCTTCATTGAGGCTCGATGTCCAGAGGAAGCATACCCAAACAGTTCTTAACAGGAAGCCTAGGGTCAAAGAAGATTCATTAAGTTGTTGGTGTGAACCATGTGATGGGATTTCAGAATATTCCTTCAGGTTTTTAAAAAGTACTCTCCTGGGGGCTGGCCTGGTGGCATAGTGGTTAAGTTCATGCACTCCGCTTGGGCAGCCCAGGGATTTGCAGGTTCAGATCCCAGGCATAGACTTACACACTGCTCATCAAGCCATACTGTGGCAGCATCCTACATACAAAATAGAGGAAGACTGGCATAGATGTTAGCTCAGGGACAATCTTCCTCAAGCAAAAAGAGGAAGATTGGCAACAGATGTTAGCTCAGGGCCAATCTTCCTCACCAAAAAAGGAAGAAACATTGAAAGAAAGAAAAGTAGTCTCAAAGCTACTATCTTATAAATTTGGCTTCTTCTGAAAAACTTGAAGTCAGGGCAGCATAGTCTATGGGACTCAGATTGGTTTTGGAAATCAGAAACAGCTGAGTTCAACTGCCCACATTGCCATTTATCAGTTGTGTAAGCCAAGTGGCTGATATCCCTTAATCTATTTCCCTTTTGTAAAATAGGGTCTTACATAAAGCTATTGTAAAGATTAAAGGAGAATTTTTAGTAAAACACTGGTTAATAGTGACTGAAACATAGCCAGTATTCAACAAATGTCAGTTGGTAATCCTCACCCAGTTTGTGTAATTTTTAAGGTAATATTTGCACATGGTGAAAAGTTAAACGCTATAAAAAGTATCCAGTAAAAAGAATGTCCTCTTATCATCTGTAATCCTTGCCTCCCCCAGGCACCTCCCCAGAGCAATCATTGCTCTCAATGCCTTATGTATTTGCCCTGAAAATACTCCAAGCATATACAAATTTTGTATATTTAATCAATCGCTTTTTTTAAAGAACATAGTACCTGCTTTTGTGAACCTTTAAAAGGGTCTTATATAAGTAGTCACTAAGGAGATGGGGATGTGGGGGGCTAGTATAGCAAAGAAATCTCTGGATCAGGATTATATTCACAGAAAGCCAAGTCCATTTCTCTGGTATGTGGGAATGTGAGGAAGAACATTTTAAAAAATACACACACAC